GTGTGAGTCGCATCCTTTCCTCTAGTAAYATATTGATTTATTTAAATTAAAAATAATGATCTCCTTCCCCCTCTCCTCCTCCTCCTCCCAGCAGCAGTGGCTGTCTCTTATCCTTATTAACAAATTGATTGCAGTATTGGTGTCAGTACGGCTCATTTAGTAGCTCTTTTGCCTAAGGTCCAGAAGGTTGGAGGAGGGAACAGCTCCCGCACGTAGGTTTTGGCCCAGCTCCAAGGTGGACACGGTTCAAGGGGAAGGGACAGCTGCTGGGGACTGCACAGAGATATTTAGCAGGGCCCCTTTTTGGGTGGTGAAGACCTGCTGGAAGTTAGGAATTCCCCTGTAGCTCTTGGGATAGAGTGTGAGATGAGCATGGCCAGCAGCTCGCCAGCACCCAGCATAAAGAGTGCCAGGATGTCCCGAGTCCTAAAAATACCCCAAAAAACTGAGCTGCCTTATGGCTATTTAGAACAAAATTCTTTTTTTTTTTTTTTTTTATTGTGTTTGGTGCAGCTGTGGGAGACCATGGATTTTCCCTGCTTTTAGGGACTGGTCCATTCCAAGCTCCGTACAGTGAGTGAAGGGCATCCAGACCAGCTCCTCCTCATCAGGACCCTATGGGAGGTCCCACTGAGGAACAGCAGTGGGGAAGCAGCAGGTCTAGGAGCAACAGCAGCCACAGATGAAAAGCTCAGGCAGGACCTTCTTGCTTCCCATAATTTCTTTCTCTGATACTTGGCTTTCCACAGCACACTTGCAGAAAATACTGCTGAAGGACAGTATGTACCTAGTGTGTAACAACGCAAGCAGGTAAGACAGGGTCCATGAATGTGCTTCTAAATGTGAATCGTATCTATGTGACTTGTAAGGTAATTTTGTTTGCCTCCTAAGACCACTGTCAACTTATGGGCTGCTGATCAGCTTTTCTATCTCTCCTAAATGTGAGCAAGCTAGTGTGGAGGCCTCAAATGCCACAGGCTAGTAATGGTGAATGTTCACACGTGTTGCATGGCCACTGAMCAAGTGCCTGGTGTGTGAGCCCTGTCATTAGCACAGAAAGAGAAGGTAAAAGGTGCAGCCCAGCTGCCCCTGTTTGCAGGTCAGAAGTGTAGGCGCAGGATGATGGAGTGACTCATGCAAGGTCACTGCTTTCTCCTGTTCAGTGCCCTTACTTTGTAGCAGGATATCCCATTTTCAGCACTGTGCCACCAGCTTTTGAGTAGCTTGTGTGACCCTCCTGGTTTTCAGTGAAGTCCTCAGGCTTCCAAAGCAGTAGCAGAAACTCTGTTCATGCCAGAAACTGCTGCTGCCTTTCTCCTCCTCTGCAAAGTCGCTCTCCAAAAAGAAGCCACAAAGCCCTAGGATACCTGGGGTTCAAGCTGAAAGGAGACGACAGCTCTTCTCTAAGTGTGCTCAGTCACCTAAAACAGATGGTGCTGTTTCTGGTTCCTAACGAGGTGACTTACTGCTACTCCAAACCTTTCCAAACTGACCACAAAAACACGCTTGGAAAAACATCAGATGAATACACATCTGTCCAAGACCTCTCACCAAACCGCAACACATGTACAATTAAATTAGCACAGGGAGACTCCACAGGTATAGCTGGAGTAAGTGCAGAGCTTGCTTCAAAGAAGTGATAGAAAAATGTAGTTTCGTAGTCACCCAGATCAAATCAGTTTTCTCTCATTTCATTCTCTGAATTTTATATTCTTCTCATTGCGTTTTGAAACACACTGGAATAAGCAGAGCTGTAAACTTTACAAAAACTAGAGTTATTGATCTTCTACATCCTTTGCCATCTGCTTAGTTCTAGTGTCTAAAAATATTCAGTCCTTGCTCTTGCTCACATGATTGTTGAGAAAATGCTAGAGCTGGTAAATCAGAAGAGCACATTGTGTTTTGGGGGAGGGGAGTTCTCTTAGGAAAATATGCTGTCTGAAGGGAAAAAATACAGAAAAAAAACACAACTCAATTTCTGTACTTAAAAAGGCAAAAATGAAAGAAAAAAATCAATCTATTTTTCAGACAACAAAGAACAAAAATAGTACATATTCAGAGTGTTATTTTCTTTTTAGGACAATGCAAGCAAACTTCACACCTATAGCAAATTAAAAAAAAAAAGGAATTTGTTACATACTTCAAAGGGCTGAGGCACATGAATTCACTATTATCACTTTTGAAAATGAAATCCAACTGAACAACTTACCAGTTAAAAATATTACCACTGGAGAAGACATGTCCATCTCAGGATATTACAGCACAGTTACTTTCTAAAAAATTATGCTTTGGGAAATTGTTGCAGTGAAGTGTTGGAGACTCAAAAGGCTGAAAGAGATTAAAGCTTATTCTTAATTTAGCTGAGCAATAAACATGTAGGATACAGGACTTTGCCAGAGATCCAGCATGACTGAGAATTTTGAAGTCAAATAATACCCACTTATTTCAGTAGAAGTTGCATTGCTAAGTTCCCAGCTAAGCTTTAAAAATCTCAGTTTCTCTCAGCCTTTGTGTATGGTGCCCATAACTGCAAAACCTAAACATGGCTCAGAATAAATTTCATCACCATATGGAGGTCCCTAGTGAAATCAGCTAGATTATTCTGCTTTAGTTTGTGAATTGTGGATTGGTGTTTGAATGTGAACCCTCTGCCATGGGCTGTATTTGAGTCTCAGCGATGAGGAATTTGGTATTGTTGGAATTGCTAAAAAGAAAAAGCAAGATAGATTAGCACATAGTATTTCATGAATATGGTTTCCTTATTTGCCCAAGTGACTCGCTGAGGCCTGGTGACATCTGTCAGACAAAATGACGTTAAGAGAAGAAAAAAAAGAAAAAAAAATCAGTGGGATTATCAGGTAAAGATTTAAACCAAAACTTTCTGAAGATGATCTGTGTGGAAGAAGAAACAGGGTTGTTTCCTTCCTTTGCTTCTTTGTGACATAGAGATGGTTGAAATATTTAGTATGAATTTAGGGAACTGATTTCTTTTTGAAATCTAATAAATGTAAGATCTGAATTGCCAATACCAAAATAGGCAAATTATTTATTTAACCCTGCATTCTGTGTTTGAGCCAGAGCAGTGGCAGAAGGGAAGCTACAAACCTTCCACACAAAATTTGCCTTTGAGGAACTTGCTCTCCCAGTCTGCAGACCTTGGGGTCACATGTTCTGCAACAATGCAGCTAATTATAAATCTGCAAGCCCAATTTTTCCCTCATTTCATCAGAAGTCACCTCTAAAGCTCTGTGAGTATACTGGAGTTGGGTAGGAATTCTCAGATGGAACAGATTTCTGTTGAAAAATGCCAAATCACTGAAACCAGAATGTTTCTGGGAGCTATGCAGGCTTGAGACCTGCCAGCAAAACACACAGGCAAAGGCTGAGCTGGAAGCCACCCGCCTGCCAGGAAGGCTTTTGCTTGGGTCAGCCGGTGGCTTTCCAGAAACTGCAGATCCAGGCCATCTCCACCACTTGGATTGCCTTGGAGTTGGAGTCTTCAAGGGCCCTGGCTCCAAGGCAGCCTATTCCAGGATCAACACCGTCAGGGTTTATGAGCTTTGGGAGTGCTCAGCTCCAGGCTCTGTGATGGGGAACCCCGCACTGCTTGGCTCTCTGGGCTTTGATGGTGAGCTAGGAGGTGAAACATCCTGGGAACAGAGAAGTCGGAAGCTCACATATCAAGTCCATTAAACAAAAGCTATGATCACCCTCTCCAAAATTCTCTTCCTTTGGGAATTTTGAAATGTTCATTTTGAAACAGGAATAGGGTAATCCCAAGTTCCTTTAAGTACCGTGATTCCAATTTTTTGAACAGCTCCATGATCCTGGGTTTGACAGATCAGATAGAGGAGAGACTGAGTGAGCTGGACCTGTTTTCTCTGGAGAAGAGAAGGCTGAGAGGAGATATGATTAACATGTATAAGTTCAGGAAGGGAGAATGCAGGGAGGAAGGGGACAAGCTCTTTTCATTGGTGGCCAGTGATAGACGAGGGGTAATGGGCATAAGCTGAAACACAGGAGGTTCCATCTCCAGGTGAGGAGGAACTTCTTTACTGTGAGGGTGACAGAGCCCTGGAACAGACTGCCCAGGGAGGTTGTGGAATCTTCTTCTCTGGAGGTCTTCAAAACCCGCCTGGATGCCGCCCTGTGCCACATGCTCTAGGTGTGCCTGCTTGAGCGGGAAGGTTGGACTAGATGATCTCTAGAGGTCCCTTCCAACCTTGAATATTCTGTGATTCTGTGAGATCACATATGTGGTCCTATTTAGACGTGAAGTTGGGCTTTTCAAACAAGTAAGGAATTCTATAAAAAGTAAATAAAATATTAATATCCACACCAAAGTTAGGCTTACTCAGAGATAGTATATCTAGGAGTTGAATTGCTTGTATTTCTGAGTGCTCCTGCCCCAAAGACCATTCAAGAGTGACAGGGTAACTAACCACCCAAGTTTACTGGCTGGGCAGGTGAAAAAAAATGACCCTTAGAAGTTCAGTAGCTGAACTAATTACCTGAAAAGATTGCCTGGGGTTGGACCATTTATTATCTCATCAGCATTCAGTACCAATTCCATAGGACGAAGGAGAAGGAAAAAAAAAAGAAAACCAATAAAAAAACTCCAGGAACATAAGAAAGAGAACAGATAAAAGGAGAGGCGTTAGAAGAAAAAAATGCTTCTTAACTCTACTCTGTACCTTTTCTTCCTAACAGATCCCCCTCCCAATTCACCCTAAGTATAGCAGCTGGCATGTAATGAGTTCTGCAGAGATGGATCGTCACAGCACACACCAACATTCCTGGGTTTGTGTTTGATTAGCTACCCAGATTCCCCCAAATTACGGGGAGCAGAGGAAGGGAGAAGTGGAGAGAGAGTCTTTGTTATCTCTGCATATACAAAGACAAATTTCAGCTCAGTAGCACTTTCCAAGACTTCTCTGTGTTCATTGGCTGAAAGAATGGTTTGGGTTGACATGGAGTTTCCATCTATATTCCAGAGAAGAAGTGCACTGGCCACTGTTTGTGTTAAAACCGCTTCTTGGAACTGAAGATGCCGCCTGGAACCACACCTGGAACGTTTGGAAACTTGGATTTGCCTGAGGGTAGTGACAGCCGAAATCCCAGCTTCGCTAAGGTATGAGGCAATAACCATCTTCCCTCATTACACTGCATCTTTTATCTTGGAGATGCTGTTCCACTGACACAGGTGAGCTGAAGCATGGGAGAACTGAGCTGACCAGCTGCAGGCTGGAAGGGTCTCAAGCCATCAAAACACTCAATTTCCCCCCAAAACTGTGTGCGAACACTCCTCGTAGAGGCTTTGAGTGTGCTCGCCTGCCTGGTAGCTCTTCCTTCACCTCTTTTTGCAAGCTGGGATATGCCAGGAACTTCCACGCTTTCCCTTTGATGAAGTTTTTCTTCCTTCTTGAGGAAGCAATGGATTGCAGAGAAGGTGCTAGCAAACCTGGCTCGTGCTTCCAGCGCATTTTTAAAAAATGAGAACATCCTTTCAGTAATCCATGTTTGCATTAGATGGAAATGTTTTGGCTCCTCTCCTGTCCTTGAAAGCCCAGTGGTGCAATAGGAATTTGGGAAATGCAGGCTCTCAAAAGTAATGTAAAGAACAGATCCATCTATTCAAATGCAAATTGCTAAAGAAGAGAACAAGGCAATTATTTTCTCCACCAAAAAAAAAAAAAAAAAAGACAAAATAATTCATTCCATTTAACTTAGAGCCACATCCCACATTTTTTAGGTGGTTTGTCTGACAAAAGCTCTGGGATGTGCTGTGAGCAGATCCTGTCCTGGTGGTGGGACACCCACTTAAAGAGACACTGAAGCATTTTCTGTCAGAAGGTGAGTGTCACACATGAGGCTGTCACTCCCAGTCTTGCGGGAGGAACAACCCTCTTGTCTTTATGACCGCAAGAGTTGACCATAATATCTGAAGACGAGCCAAAACCCCTAGGGATGTAAATCAAATGCACACCGTGAGCAGTGTGGTTTTCTGCTGTTTTTTTGGGCTGTACTGAAATGGCCCCGTTACGTGTCAGAGGCCAGCAGCTAACAGGCAACATCCATTGACTTCAGGGAGGATTCCAGTATGTTCAGTGAAATGCCCAGCAACGGCAGCAGGCCCAGCACACAGAGAGAGACGAATGGCCGCAGATCCCTTACAACCAAAGTGTCAAAGTGATCAGGTCTCCAGTCTCCAGTCTCTGGGAGCATCTCACCTCTGCTTTTACTGACATTGAGGCAGAAAAAAAACTTTAATCTGGACATGGTCAGAGTTTGAGGTAGCACAGCAAGGCAGCTAATGGTTAAAATCAGTTGATATTCACTTGTAAGGCACTGAATACTCAGCTTCTGCAGCTCCTTGATGTGTCTTCTAAATGTGTTTTTTTTTTCTGTCTCATTTTTATCATAAAGAGGATAGGTTGATATAATTATCACTTTTTTCCTTTGGTCCCTGCCTCTTGTATTTTTCTCACATTTTCCTCCATTTCCTCTCTTTTCTGCCTCTCAGACAGCTCTTTCCTCAATATCCCCAGACCTCACGATCACAGCATGCATGCCCAGCCTTAGAAGCTTGAAGTCTACACAGCTGTAGAATATTTAGCTCTGTGTGTCAGACGACGTGAGTACAATTTCCATGTCTTAAGAAGGCTACTCCCCTCCAGAGCAGGAAAAGAAAAAAGCAACAACAACAAAAACAAACAGACAAACAAACAAAAACTCAACCTTAAAATAAAGATTTTAGGAAGGAAAATGTATGCTTTTGAATGGGTATTTTTCCTTCTGGAGGATGAAAAGTTTATTGTCACTGTTGGATATTGTGTTGTCTTGAAAAATGCATTTTTTATTGCCTGGAGTGGGAGAGATGAGTGCTCAGCACCTTTCAGGACTTGACCCTATTGCAAGGATTTAGATAGGAACAAGCAAAGAAATAGCAGAACTTAGAAAAGGAAAACAAGGAAGTTTTCCTGTAGTTGTAGGCACCGTTTCTCTGCGCCCACCCTGCACTCATCGGTAGCAGCCTCCTCTGGGCTCTTGTCAGGCAAGGAGCCCCTAACCCCCTAGCCTGCAGGCGGGAAAGGCTCAGGATTCGGAGGCTCAACATTTCTGTCCTGAGGCTCCTAGCGAAACACCTGGGCTCCTTCCTCACAGGCCGCGAGTGCGCGGGGAGCGGGGCTGGAGTGGGAGCGGGMTAGAGATTGAGAATGGGACCGGGAGCAGAGGGAGAGTGGAACCGGGAGCAGAATCAAAAAGGGGCAGGAGCAGGTCTGTAAGTGGAGCCGGGAGTGAGGCCGAAGTGGGTCGGGAATGGGTCTGGGAGCAGGTCAGAAGCGCAGCCAAAGCGGGTAGGGAGAGGAGCTGGGTGCTGGAGCAGGTTGGGAGCGGGCTAGGAGTGGGTCGAGGGCGGAACCRGAGCAGATCGGATGCGGTTTCGGGAGCGGAGCCAAAGTGGGCCGGGAACGGGCTGGGCTGGGTCCAGGCAGGGAGCGGCTCGGGACTGGAGCTAGAGCGGGCCGGGAGTGGGCCGGGTGCGGGTCGGGAGTGGGTCGGGAGCGGAGCCGGAGCGGGCCGGGAGCGGACCGGGAGCGGGCCCGGAGCAGAGCCGGAGCGGGCCGGGTGCGGACCGGGAGCGGGCCGGGTGCGGACCGGGAGCGGGCCCGGAGCAGAGCCGGAGCGGGCCGGGTGCGGACCGGGAGCGGGTCCGGAGCGGAGCCGGGCCGGGAGCGGAGCCGGGCCGCGCGCTGCGCTGCGCTGCGCTGCCCGCGGCCGCCGCTGGGTGTCAGTGAGCATCTGGATTCCGCGCGCGGCGCGCGCTGCGGAGCGCGGAGCTCCGCGCAGGGGCCGCCCGCGGGAAGCCCTTCAAAGCGGCCCGCGCTGCGTCCCCCCCGCCCCGCGCTGAGGAATATTTAGATTAGATTTACACTTAAGACGGCAACTTTGCAGTGGCAGCGAGGTTTTGAGCTTGAAAGAAAACCAAACAGACCCGAAATCCGTGCAAACAGACTCGGAAATGGTGATTGTAGTATTTAAAATGTTGTTTTTGAAATGTAATTTAACTCCAGTCTGGTCAGATCCACAGGCTGATACTCTAATCCCAAGTGAAGCTTCTCGTTGATTTAAGAAGCTTCTGTTGGACTATTTTCTGGACATAGAAGAAAAGACAGAAAGTGGGTAGCTTTTTCTTTCAAGAGTTGAAAGCAGCACTCGTTTGAGGTTTTAAGAAGATTTGGAGAATGAGGATTGATCTGCTAACATCAGAGAAGAAATCTGGTGGCAAATATCAAAACCTCGCAGAATATTTTACCACTCAGAGATATTAGTAAGTATCACCTTTCTGGGCTCACAAACCCACTCATTGCTTATTCATATTTTTTCAGCTGCAAAAGAAAAAAAAAGAAAAAGCATTGCCTAAATGATTTTTTAAGTTTGACCAGGAGATGCATACTATATAAAATTCCACCTGCCTCTTTAAAAATCTTATTGAGAAAAAGCTTAGACAAGTATGAGAGCTGCTTCATCATAACCCCTTGAAATGTGCTGAGCCTCAGTTACCTGTAACACTACCTGATAATTACATGCAAAGATTTGGGTATCAAACACCTGACCTGACCTTGTTGTCACCTAGTAAATGTCAGCACATAACAGAATTTCCTTGGAGCGGTCACAGTGGGTTTTCAGCACAAGCCCAGGTAAATGAAGAGAAGCAGGTGAAAGAATATAATTACTGTCAATGAGGGAATGGRTTTTAGTGTCACTCCTCCCATTGAAAACTCTTTGAGGGATTAAACCTCAAGCTCAAAAGCTTTTGAAGGGGCTGTTTGGGAGGAAAAACACTTCCAGTTTTCAGGGGATACGAAGGTTAAGCTGTATGTCTCTAGCTGCAGATGCATTCGGGTTGTGATTTTGCTGTGAAGGGGAAAGGGGACAGAAGGAGGTGAGAAAAAAGCTTATTTTTTTTCTTGATATCTTTGCTCCACATAATTATTATCTGAAGTCTGTTAATATATTGACAGTAATAGACATGTGTCATCCTGGAGGATCCTAAACTGTTTACCATAGATTTTACCTTTACAGGAAGTGATTCACCCCCTGTGGAAACGGAACTACCTTTGGAGTGAAAACCAGCAACTGTTCAAGTACTACAGGCACAGTACTTGATAATTTAGCATTGGACATCTCAGTGTCGCGTGGAAATCACAGAGGTGAGTATAGAGAAACAGTAAGTCATTTTGTAACTGAGTAGGAATGTGACAGGTAACACCCTCGCCCCGAGCAGTAAAGCAACCTAGAAAAAGAGCATCAGTTACAGCATCCTGATGCTCTGTGGAAACTCCTTCTGTCCTTTTCTCTTACTGAATTGCAAAAATCTCTTCTGTAGCATTTATGTTTTCCTTAGAGACTTTTCTTTATTATTAATATTTTTTTTTGTCCACGTTCTGGCTAGAGTCAAGTCTTCTGTAACTTGTGAGAGCTGTCAAGATCAGAGCCCTGGGTGCTACAGCTGCAGGCCATGTTTAATAGTTAATGCTGAACAATGTTATGATATTTGTATCCTACTATTATCATGCTATTAGAAATTTGCGAATATTTTTAAATACACTGTTGGGCATGGATGGGAGTCTTGAGCAATAGTTTTCTGATGTTCACTCTATATTCTGCAGCTCTGGAGAATATTCACATACAAACATGGATTACTAAATGCCCCAAGCAAATGTTTCTCAGTTTTCCAACTGTACTTGCTGGTGTTCTGTGGGATTATAATTTGAAAGTTAGTAGGTCTGTTGTGAATTATATCATGCTCTGAAGTATATATTATAGATGCCAGGCAGAGTGTGTGCTATGGATGCAAGACYGAGTTCTCATTTGGTTTTGCATGCATGATTCTTCTTGGTTCAGCTGAAGCTGATTGCACATCAGAGACCAGAGCAGCTGAGGACCTCAGCTGTGGTGCCAATGACCACAAAATGTCACCTTTGAAGGTCAATGTTCAGGCTTGCCCTCCAAGGTGCAAAGAGATGGGTTTAGCACTGTGTTTTCTGAGCGATACACTCTTCCTGGGCTGGTAACACCATCAAGGGTGTTTGAAAAGGCTCCTTTTTATATTCATCCTATTGCCATAGTAAAGAAGATTAGAAATTGATAGATAATCAATGGGTATGCTATGAAAACCTTGTTGGATTAAATAGAAATGGGCCACCATTACACTGAAGCAAAAGACTGCTAGAAAAACAAAAGYCCTTTCTTGCACTACTGGCTATCAAGATTCACCTTTGTTGGTGAATCTGGGAAAACATCATTACCTGGGAAATGCAGAGAACCAAACTCTGATAATGCTAAAAGTCTGTAAAGAGCAGTGGCCCAGGCAGAGAGCATGTGTTTAAGAGGGGAGATGTGGGGCAGGATTGACAGAAACCTGCTTGGGCTCATGGTGAACATTAGTCTACTGACAAAATTGCAGCCTCTGTGGAGAAAGACTGGAAGACACCTCTTCTTTCATGTGCATTAGTTGAATCAGCTAACCGGTGATTCATAGATTCTATTACAATATATATTTTTTCCCATTTTTTTTCCAGGAGTAAGGGCCTGCCTTCGAAGAAGTAAAGCAACATGGGAAAAAGTGGATGGGCCAGACATTGTGCTAATCAGATAGATGTCGTTTTGGGTGGGTAGGTGCAATTCAGAGGAGGTCCTCTTCAAGGAACATGTGTATATGGATGGCAGGAGCTGGCTGACAGTTAGACACCTGTATGTCTAACAGAAGATTAAAATGGTTCTAAATGCCCTTTTAGCCCCCTTTCTTTCTCCCTATATTACTATAGAAGTGCACATTCAGTGTGAGAGGTGGTCCATGCCTAGAGAAACAGAACCAAAAACTTTCAGGAAAACAAAATTAACTTTGCTTTACATATAGAAAAGTGAAGAACATATAAMTGGCCACCCTAGGAGAGCCAAGACTGAATCCTTTAGTCACAAGTGTCCCTTCTTCTCTGAGATATATTTATATTGCAGCTTCTGGTGCTTCTGATTTATCACCAACCCCAGCCTTAATTCTTAACAATTTGTCAGCATAATTATGTTTTCTTTTATCTCTTTTCTTTTCTTTCTTCTCCATCCCTGCCCCACAACTATTTCTTTGAAGTAGCCCAAGGGAGGTCTATGTCAGTAGCAGACTTGGAAATCAATTTTAAGCATAATTTCTTATTCATACTTCATATCCGTTTATTTATTTATTCATTTTTGTAGATCTAATTTTTTCCAGTTAAGAACTGTGTAAATAGCCCTAATGAGCCTTGAGGGCTCTCATTTGCTTAGAGAGATTAARACAAACTGGGAAATCTCCAAACGCGTAGGGTAGTAGGTATGAAACCTCACCTAAAGCTGGTCAAATGATTCTTTGTAAATAATTTATCTGATATGAGGAGGACTTTTGTACTATTTATTATTGTTTGATTTGTTTTTTTTTTTTGATTGTGTTTAAGTATTAATTTTTGTAAACAAAGCTGGTCCTTCAACTTATTCTAAACTTGATCATTTTGGACCAATTTGCAATTTTCAGGGTCTCTTATGTAACTGATCACCCAAGCTGCATGATGTTGGCTTTTCTTTATGGCTGAATGGTCCTTCACTATCTGCATATAGCCCTCATGAGAAGGTAAAAAAAAATTGTGAACCGTGTAGATGAATTATAACAAATGTCTTTTTGATATCAACATTTCTGCAAAAACTCACCTTCACCAGGATTCTTTCTAGGATACATATAGAAAAACTCACAGGTCCTGCTCACTTGAATGCTCACTACGAGGGGGCTACTATCTATTAGGAAAGCAAACTCATCAGTGTTGCAGAACATATTTTATTTATCTAAATCTAAGCTCACCAGAAAAAAAAAAAAACAGAAAAGAAAAAGAAATAAAAGTCTGTGAATTGCTCTCTGCGCTGTTTTGGAAGCTCTTTTGTTTTGCACAAAACTCATTTCTTTTCCTTGACGGCTTGTTTGCCAAACAGAGGACATTGTATTCCCATTGTTTTAAGTGACATCATGGTCAGCTAATCCATACAGTTGTACCGTGGATAATATGCTTTCTGAGGTGGGATTATTTAATAGGAAAGATGGGGGAAAAAACCTCCYTGAGCCTCCTGTTCGCAGTGAGAGCTCGCTCACGTTCTCTCCGCCACAGAGCAGCTCCCTGTGCCRTTCCCCCAGTATTACCTTACCTTGGCGGCTCCTTGGGAACCGCGCGGCTGAGCGGAGACGCTTTGCTGCTCAAACAAAGCCCGGCTTTGTCCCAGGGGCCGGATTTGGAACTCGCCCCTGCAAGAGCGTGGGCTGACCCTGAACCCTCGTTCCCCAAAGCAAAGCGCAGAAACCACCTCTGTCCTAGGCTGGGTTCGGCAGCATCTCTTAAAGGATGTTAACCTCCAAGCATTATGTCRCAAGGGAAAGCCCAGGCTGAGCAAAACATTTTAGGAAGGGGCTCCTGTTGGCTGAGAGGATAAAAGGGGATGAATTTGGGGGTGTGCATTATAACTTTTGGGAGAGCRTGAAGCATGGGTGCTGGAGCACTTCTTTCCTTGTAGTGCTGGCTGCCTCTGCTAGGTCTAACCCTGAAATCTAACAAATACTGACCTTGCCCGCAAGACCAATACATTGTTTTTAAACATTAGTTTCCTATTCCTGACAGATAAGATGAAAAGTTAACAATGCGTTAAGGCTGTAAAATGTTGGCCAGAGTTTAGATTTCACCTCTGTTTAACTTTTTGTCAACAGATTGGCATTTTCCTCCACGTTCAGAACAGTTGGGTTTTGCTTTCAGCGCTGACTAATAGCTCTTAGATGCTCTCTCACGCAGAGATTTGAGTTCAATATTAAAGCATTGATAACACTCTTATTATCAGAAAGACATGGTCTATGGGCTCAAAGGGAATCTAAAACAGCTCTTTCAGCGCAATAAAAGAATAGTTCTCCATTATGTGACATGAAGTTCCCAGATATATTACCTAACCAGATCACGGCATGCTAGTAGATTCAGACCCATGCCGGCCTGCTAAGTCTTTCTGAAATGGCTTCCTTTCAAGAAAATAGCGCCCCAGTGCAAGATATCTTAGCTAACACACTGGGTATAAATTACTGCTCTTGCAAGTTAAACAGCGCAGCCAATATTCCCAGAGAGAGGCCGCRCTGGTTCAGCAGGGTGGCCGAATCGCACCGCTGGGACTCAAAGAGTTAATGATGTTTGCTGGGGGCTACGTTTCTGCTGCTGTACTTTGTGCTGTGCCGGAGTTAAATGCTGTTGAAACTAAGTTAAGGGCAGTGCTGAATATCAGTATATCCACTGAGCCAAGGAGATCCATTTATTTTTAATTGAATTAAATTGCTCACAAAATGAAAGTAGCATACTTTCATTAATATTTAATTACTTACAGTGTTAAACAATGATCACAAAGAAAACTTTGCTGGTGTCTTTTCCTTCTCTGCCTTTTTCTATTACTTTGTTGCATGAGACTGCCTCGCCAGCCTTCCTGTGATTTGGATGCGAAAAGCTGCCATGGTGCTATTGGTGTTTTGGCATGAGGGGAAAACACCAGGGCTCTGGTGCTGAAACCATCATGGAGCTACAGCTGAGAATGGGAGAGTGGAAGATCCTCACCCAGACTACAGAGAGAGAAGATCTTTCTCTACACCAAAAGGGGCTAGTCTGAAAGTCATTTGCAGGAGCATCAGTGTCTCGGCTGGAGCAGACAAATGCTACCATGGCTACTGCCACTATTTTTTATTATTTTAGTGAGCTCTCTAGTTGGTGGAATGGAGGGAAAGAAAAAGAGACAGGGTTTTCTTTTCAATTTGAAAACAAAATTGAAGCATGATTTTGATATCAGTAAAATTAAAACCGGCAAACTGCACATTGCCAAGGATCTGAGGTGCTGAGGGAGTTGTTTATATATGTCTAAAATAGTCTTTACAACTCTAACCTCATACCATGAACATGGCAGATAACTTTCCTCATGGAGGTGCACTATATAAATGCATATTATATATATATTCTTCCTACTTGCATGAAACACAGCAGAGTACTTAGGCAAAAAGCTGAGGTATTGTAATCAGAGCAGAAATCACCAAGGAGTTAAGAAACTCCTCCATATGTTTCCTCCCTTATAGAGCAAGTAAATAGAAAAAATACTGTAAGCATTAAAGGTTCACAGCTTTTATTTTTGTATATAATGTTCACCTTAACAGAATTCAATTCAGACAAGAATTAAGTTAGTTGCATAGTCCGAGGGACTACAGCCCTAGGCCTGAAATTGGTCTAGTTGCTTGTGATGGAGGTAGGCTGACTTATCTGAGTGTGGCCATTGGCAATAATGGGTGGACTGAATTAAAGCCATAACTTCTGAAATTAAGTGTGCAATTTCTATGTTATTTTGTATAAAGAACAACTCTTCTATGTTTCACAGCATATCCTTCCATCATTTATGGAAAAGATGCGATTACGCCAGAGTGATTACCTACAGAAAGCAAATTCTAAGTGAAGATTATATGGTATTTTCCCCTCAAACCCTTGAATGATGCTAAAGAAATTGCTCAACTCTTCATTGCCATTCTTGCTATGTCTATTTGATTCAAAAAGTACATATAAAAGTAGGAAATACCAGACTTTCTGTTTTAATATGACACTCAGACTGTGAATGTGAGTAGTTCATGTCTTACATTGAGGCTTAGTTCCATCTTCGTTCACTTTCCTCCCCACTTTCGGGATAGCTCCAGATGATCAGATCTTTCTAAGGTGTGAGCTTTCACTGTTTTGGAAGAAGGAAATGGTAGTTCCTCCATGCTCCCACAGAAAAATGAAGAAATCATCAAGAGAAGGAAAAATGTCAATAAGACTTCAAGCAGCACATTTCCACGCTGCTATGCTACTTTTAGTGTGGTTAAAGTCAGTTGGCCTTTGGACAAATGCCTCGTCATAACACCACCCGAGGTGTGTGATAATCGCCAAGAAATGCTCTACCTGTCATGTCTTATTGCTTAAATATTTATGCTTATGACATTTGATTCCTACACTCTATATGTCATCAGAATGTTTCACTCATAGTAGATATGTCATCACCCACCAGGAACAGCTGACACTAAGGATTAGAACACTTTCAAATTAAAAATCCCTAAACAAAGAAATGACATGCTAGTAATTGTCTAGCGTAGTATAAATCAAATATATGATGATATGAACTAATAGATTTATTACATTAAGCTGACCCAGCCATTTAATTTGATGATTCCTGTTCCTCGCTTCATTCTCTGCAAGGAAAGAAGAGAAGGAATAGGACTTGTATTAATGGTAGTTCTTATTTTGATGAAGGTCATGGTGTATTTCCTCTTATAACCATCCTATAGGGTCAATAAGAGAAGAATACGTGTTCTGTGGCAGAAATTGTTAGAGAGCCAAGTGTGCAAAATGGAATCCTTTCTGGCAAGTAGTTCCTGTCTTTAAGGATAAGTTTAAAATGATGCCAGTGTTTCCAGTACAATTTTGGGTGGCCTTCAATTGGAGCTCCACTTGTTAGATAAAAGATTTCCAACTATGTCGTGTAGGCCAAGCCCAAATTCTCTGGTAGAGCAAGTGGACCCTGTTTTGAAGTCTCCTCTCACTAGACCTCCTTTCCCAGCAGTGGGCCAAATGGAAGAGGTGCGTACAGCTCTCAGCCATAGTCTGTGTCCAAGGCAGTAGTCCTGCCTCTAGGTAATGCTGGAAACACTTTGAGCCATGCAAGGGTGCAGCAGAAGTGCTCAACGTTCAACATTGCTCCATCAGCTGCTGTAGGTCTCCACTGAGGCAGCCATGGTGGAATGGAGGCAAGGGTGCCCTGAATTAAGAATGGCCCCCATGGCCTCTCCTCCTAGCT